TATATATCTAGACTAGGTGTATGACGTGCCCAAATTGCACTTCCACATAATTGGTTGTTTCTTCCTACTTCTAAAAAGTATACTATTGTTTGTAAATGAAAAGCTAAGGAACAATATTTTTGGTATTTTTTTTTTCAAGTTGATAAAAGATCTAGGGTCGTGACTTCCACCTAGGTGGTTACCTAACAGATTGTGGGATTTAGGGCAGGTTTGATTGATCAGGGTGTAATATAGCAATCACACGTAATTACCCACTCTATACCCCACGGTAGTTTGAGTGGTTTTGCAACGCCTCTATCCCCGGGGCTAACTTCATCTAGTTCGGGAGCAGGTGCCGGTTCCTGTAATTGCCATGCCGCGCGTTCCTTTCCTTTGCTACTGGAGACCGAAATTGCATTCATCTCCCTTGCCGCCGGTTGGTCACCCCTTATCTGCTTAATTCCTTCAGGTGTTGGAAACTTCAGCAATTGATGATATGCTGATGGTACAACTTTCATCTCGTGCAACCATGGCCTTCCCAGAATGATGTTATATCCCATATCACCATCTACCACTTCGAAGAGAGTTGTTTTCATTAATCCTTCGGCGTTTGTGAGTAATAAAATTTCCCCTCGAGTTGTCACGCTCGCGAGGTCGAATCCGGCGAGGAGCTTTGTGGCCGGAATAATGCTTCCGATGAGTTTAGCTTGCTCCAATATTCTCCATTGTATGATATTAGCCGAACTTCCTGGATCCACTAGAACATGTTTAATCTTAAAATCTAGCACATTTAAAGAAATTACCAGTGCGTCATTACGTGGTAGCAATAATCCGTCTGCGTCCTCCTTCGTAAAAGTGATATCGTCTTCCCGGAGCCTTTTTCTATGGGTTATTGATACTTTCAACTTTTTTGCTGCCGAAAAAGTGACCCCGTTGATCTCGTTCCCTCCGAAGATCATGTTGATCGTTTGGTGCGAGGGATCATCTCCTTCTTTCGAGGGTTCCGCATTGTCCCGATTACGACCATAATTGTTCTTAGCTCGGTCACTCAAGAATTCTCTGAGGTGACCATTCTTCAATAATGTTGCCACTTCTTCCCTGAGGTATCGGCAGTCCCCTGTCTGGTGGCCATTCGTCCCATGGTATTCACACCTTAAGTTGGGATCCCTCTGGCTGGGATCAGATCTCATTGGTTTCGGGAACAATGCTTCTTTGATGTTTCTCATGGCTGACAGTAATTCCACTATACTGACGTTAAAGTTGTATTCCAATAACTTGGGGTAAGAAAGATCCCGTGACCTTGACGCTTCTTTATCCTGCAGTGATCTATTGTTCCGACCGCGATCAGTCCTTTTGTCAACGGTGAACCTGTCCGCTGTCCAGAAGCCTCTACCGCGACCTTCTGTCTGTTCGTAGGGCAAAAACTAGCCCCTCGAAGTCCGTCTGTCCCTGTCGTAATCGTCTTTTGATTTTTCTCTGTTCTTCTCCCGTCCTTTGGTCGACGATGGAAAACCAACCTGATCATCATCGATCCTTATCTTTGACTCGTACCGGTTGTGGACATCTGCCCAAGTCGTTGCTTGAAACTCAAGCGGGTTTTCCTTTAGTTTCCGAAAAGCATCTGAACTTCTCGGATTCAATCCCTTGGTGAATGCTTCAGCCGCCCATTCATCCGTGACAGCTGGGAGCAACATTCTCTCCTTCTGGAATTGGGTAACGAATTCTCGTAGTAACTCGAACTCTCCTTGCGCAATCCTGAATATGTCAGCCTTTCGGGCTTGTACTTTTCTGGCCCCGGCATGAGCCTTGATGAAAGAGTATGCGAGCATCTCAAAGGAGTTTATGGAATTCTCGGGTAATAGTGAATACCACGTCAAGGCTCCCATCGTGAGAGTTTCTCCAAATTTCTTCAGCAAAACAGATTCAATTTCGAGATGAGCTAAATCATTTCCCTTCATCGCCGTTGTGTAGGTGGTAATATGCTCCTGAGGGTCTGAAGTTCCGTTATACTTTGGCACATCAGGCATTTTGAACCGCTTCGGGATTAATTCTGGTGTTGCACTTGGCTTGTATGGCAATTGAGTATAATTCTTTGAGTCCGGGGCTTTCAGCACTGGTGGCGCGCCCGAAATTTGGTCTATGCGGGCGTTCACTTCCCTCATAAAGCGTAAAAGTTCATTCTTAAAAGATCGTTCTCGTTATTGATGTCGGATCTGCCCCCAGCCCCATCGAAGCCAACTTCGCCCCTAGGAGTGTTGTTGTCAATCCTCTGCATTGTTTGATTTGCGAGAGAACCGGGAGGAATCAGATCTCGTATATTCGCATTATTCGAAGCCCCCGACAGTGCATGCTTCAACTCCGTCATAACCTTATCTTGTCGCGTGAGGTAGCCTAGAATGATCGCCTGTTGCTCTTGCAAGACCCTTACCGCGTCAACGACATGTTCCTCATCAACATCATCGGGAGTTGTCTCCCGAACATGTCGAGGATATTGCCTGTCATGCACCGGTGTGGTGCCATTCCCCTCATTGTGGGTGTCACTGATTGAGTCCTCGAATCTCGGGATTGTGCGTGCTGTTAACAACGTTATCTTCCATTTCTTATGATTTTTTCTAAGACAAAATAATCAAAACACGCTAGTAAAAAAGGCAAGGATCAATTTAATTGCACGATTGTCTAGGCCCCACAGTGGGCGCCAAATTGTTTATCCGTAAAACGGTACAGTTGAATTTATACGTGATTTCTAGACAAGTGAATCAATTTGATCCTGAAATAATAAAATAATTGAAGAATTATGCAATACTTAGCCTTGAGATAGAGACAAAATAATAGAAACAACTAATTGTTTATCCGTAAAACGGTACAGTTGAATTTATACGTGGTTTCTAGACAAGTGAATCAATTTGATCATGAAATAATAAAATAATTGAAGAATTATGCAATACTTAGCCTTGAGATAGAGACAAAATAATAGAAACAGCAGTTTCGAAAACAGGGTTTCTGGTAGGGTTGTTCAAAACCGAACCGAAATCGTTAACCGAACCGATAACTTATTGGCTTATTGGTATCGGATTATCGGGGTAATGTATGGTGAACAGATTGAGATTTTATAATTAACGGCTTAACAGTTTAGGGGCGGATTACTCAATTTTCTTATCGGCTAAACCGTTAACCCGTTAAGAATTTTATATTTATACTTTTACCCTTATGTATATAAAGTACTATTGAAACCCTAAATGGCTAAATCCCTAATTTCTATTTTCTAATTCTCAATTGTCTTCAGCCACCATAGGCAGAGAAGTCGTCAGTCTCGTCTCTCTCTTGAATTGAAAACTGAAAAGTCAAAAAATCGAAATCTCTATGATTTATACGTGTATGTATGTATGAGTAGTCTTGATGGTATTAAAAAAATGATTAATACATATATGCCAATATTAGTAGTCTTGAAGACTCTTCAATTAAAAATACCGTTTGGTTAGATCTTAGATGGTATTAAAAATTTGGTATTGATTTGAAACTGTTTGGTATTGGTTGAATGATTGTTCAAAATTCTTTTATTTGGTTTAGACGATAATCGTCCGATAATTGTTAATCTGATACCAATACGCCTGTTGTCTTATTGGATGGCTAGCGGATTACTACATTTATAATCCAATAACCGTTAAGCCGAACCATTAAGCGTAATTATCCGTCTGATCCGCCCGATAAGCAACTCTAGTTTCCAGGCACAACAGCAATGAAATCAAAAGGCAAGAAGATAAGATTGTATTAAGCTTTGAATAGAATGTAGCATAAGTTTGTTTGAAAATTCGTGTCCTCTACAATGATAACTGAACTCACTATTTATAGCTACGTCTATGGAAGGAGGTCCTAGGATCGTGCCCCTCTTTAATCTCAATTATGAGGGTCATTGATGAAGATGTAACGGTGAACATAAATGCCAAATTCCCTGTAATGGGCAATGATTCTTAATGCCACGGAATACTCTCTATTAAATGCTACTGGGCGAAGAGTATTTATCACATCTTTATGAGCGTTATTCTTTCCGGTGACAAACGGAATAGTTGCCTTTGGTCTTGGCCATCCCTCCGTCTTGGGTTCCACGTGTCCATTTTTTGGGTGGCCACGTGTCATAGCATATTTTACCCTATACACATCGTTTGGTAATTGCAAGATCAATCACTGTTATTTCTGCTCTACCTCAACGTAAAATTTGATAGAATGACCTTAATATTTGAGATTACACCTATAATTTTTCTTACATGACTTCAGAGAAAGTTTTCAAAGGTTGTATCTTATTGTGTAAATAAGATAGCGAAACACTTTTGAACAAACTAAGCAACTCATTTAAGTCTTGATATTAGCTTGTGAGGCTTGTTCACAATAGACTAGTCTTGGTAGAAATCCAAGTGTAAAAGGATCTTTTAAGCTTTGTTTTCTGGTCCAATTGATCTCAACGTTGACGTAATATACAATTCCAGATATTAGGCACAACAAAAGTGACTCAAGTCACCTCATACTTCCTTCATATGCAGCCAAAAGAAAAGAGTTTTGCGCTTTTGGTCCTTGCAAAATAGGATCAAATGTGCCACTTCAAATACATTGTAGGGATAAAAGTGCTACTTGTGAGAATGAAGGAGTCGACTGTGCAGTACTGAGAATGAGCCAACTGTCAAGTTAGTTAGGACAGCTGGCAGAGTTAGTTGATGTTGTTAGAGGTAGTTACCAATAGTTAGTGATCTTAGCTTAATTAAGTAGTGGTTAGTTATGTCTATAAATACAGAGTTTGTATGTGTTATTGTTTACAATAATTGAATATGCAGAAAAGTTTCTTTATTCATTTCTCTCTCCTCCTCCTTATTCCTTGCACGATACTGTTACATTGCTCCATTAATGGAGGCCATGACCTAGCTCAGTTGAAGCTCAGTTCACATGGCATCAGAGCAGTCGTGACTGGGAGTACACGAACACTGTAATTTTATTGTCAATTCTAGTAATTGATCTTCCTCTTAAGCTCAACGATGGGAGATGACAAGATCAATCACACTCATTCACTGTTTCTTCATCCTTCTGACACGCCGAGTTCAGTTTTGATTCCAATTCAACTCACAGGATCTGAAAACTATGGATTGTGGTAGAGAACGATGCGAATTGCACTTCTAGCTAAACGAAAATTAGGGTTCGTGACTGGTACTTTTAAAAAGGATTCCTTTAAGAAGGAACTACATGAGGAATGGGAGACATGCAATGCAATTATCTTCTCCTAGATCATGAATACAACATCGCAGAACCTAGTTAGTGGAATTGCTTATGCATTTGATGCTCATTTAGTTTGGAAGGACTTAAAGGAGAGGTTTGATAAGGTTTAATCGTGTAAGGATCTTCCAATTGCATAGAGAAATTGCAACAATCTCACAAGGAACAGATTCTGTGGACACCTATTTTACAAAGCTGAAAGAGTTATGGTCAGAGTATGATGCCTTGGTGCCTTCACCTGGATGTGACTGTGTGAAATCAAAGGATTATATCGTGCATCTTCATCAGCAGAGGTTGCTTCAATTTCTGAGTGGTTTCAACGAATCATATGATCAAGCAAGGAGACAAATCCTAATGAAGACAACAGAACCAACGCTGAATCAGGCTTATGCTCTGATTTGTGAAGATGAGAGTCAGAGGTCAAGTCCATATCCAGCCCTAGCTGTTAAAGCAGATACAAATGTTATGCAGGCTGGTCGAGGGACAATTCCTAGAGGAGAGCCAATTGCCATGCAAGTTGGTAGACGACAACCCTATAAAGGGAAGAAACCTTTCATGAGAGGTGACTATTGTCATAAAAATGGGCATTTGAAGGAAAATTGCTTTAAATTGATAGGGTATCGAGAAGACTTTAAGGCAAAAAGGCAGGTTGTGGCTAACAGTGCTACTGGTGTTCTTGAACGTGAACAACAAATACAGATGAATGGAGAAAAAGGAGCAAGCTATGATCAAGTAGCATGGCACTTCTTCACTGAGGATCAGTACATGCAAATACTGAATATGCTGAATAAGGATACTTCTGTACCACAAGTAAACATGGCAGGTACTAATGACTAATTGCTCTAATAGTGAGTGGATAGTTGATTCTGGTGCAACTCATCACATAGCTGCTTCATTAGACTTGCTGCATTCTAAAACTAAGTTGAAAGGTGAACAAAAAGAACAGGTACAATTGCCCACCGGTGAGAGAACTGACATTACACATACTGGTAGTGCAACCATTCTTAAGGATTTGGAGGTAAAAAATGTGCTATTTGTTTTCGACTTCAAATTTAATTTGCTGTTTGTATCCAAACTCACAAAGGAACTCTGCTACTCAATTCATTTGTATCCTGACTTCTGTGTATTTCAGGACCTTTGGAGTGGCAGGGTGAGGAGGATTAGTAAGGAAAAAGGAGGTCTATATGTGGTGAAGGATGCACACATAGCAAAAGTGTTGCAGCAAATGTCAACAGCCACCACTCAAAAGCCAGGATTTGATGGTCATCTTTGGCATCAGAGATTAGGACATGCCTCAGTTAGCACAATGAAGCATATCAAGTCTTTTCAGCATGCAACAGTAGATCTAAATGTAAATAAGGATTGTTCAGTTTGCCCTTTGGCTAAACAAAGTAGGTTGGCCTTTCCTAGAAGTTGTTCTAGAAGTGTTAGTCTTTTGCTATTGTTACATATGGATGTTTGGGGTCCTTATAAGTTCCCTACACATGATGGGAAGCATTTTTTCTTGACCATTGTGGATGATCATTCAAGATATACTTGGGTCCATTTGCTGCAATTAAAGAGTGATGTTATAGTAATATTGCAGAAGTTTCTTTCTATGCTCCGAACACAGTTCAATGTAGTTGTTAAGACCATTAAAACAGACAATGGAGGAGAATTTTTTAATAAACAATGGAGTAACTTGTTTGATTACTATGGTATAGTACACCAAAGTAGCTGCGCATACACACCACAGCAAAATGGGGTGGTAGAAAGGAAACACAGACACAGCAAGGGCACTAAACTTTCAAGCTAATGTGCCAACCAAATATTGGGGAGAGTGCATAACTACTGCTATATATCTTATCAATAGGCTTCCTACTGTTGTTCTGGATGAAAAAATACCTTATGAGTTGTTGTATCATACACAACCTTCACTCAACCATTTGAGAGGATTTGGTTGCCTCTGCTATGCTACTACTTTGGTGCATGGAAACAAATTTTCAGCAAGAGCCAAATCAGCAGTCCATCTTGGGTACTCAGAAACTCAGAAAGGCTACAAGCTGCTGGATCTCTCTACTAACCAGTTTCTTGTTTGCAGGGATGTTGTGTTTAAGGAGCACTTATTTCCTTTTATTCAGCCTTCCTTATGGAAACATTCGATGGTCCATGATAAGGGGAGTGTGCAGGTTAATCATGAACCATTTCCAGCTAATCATGACTTCCTACAACAAGAAGATCATGAAGGCATTGAACCTGCATCCACTTCTCATCCACAAGAAGCTGTAGTTTCACCAATAGAGGATTCAACTCCAATTCCAATTCCTGGTGTGGATAATGTACCAACTGAGGAAGTGCAGAATGGGCATGCAGCAAATGAGTATACACAAGGAGAAACAAGTACAGCACCAAGCTTACATGACATTGTAAGTGAGGAAGAGCATGATGCAATGTACTTGCCACAAGATGTAGACACATTACCAGAGATAGAGCCTGCTCTTGCAAGTGAAGAACCAAGAAGATCTAGCAGAAATGTCAAAGAGCCCTTGTGGTTGAAGGATTATGTGACACAAAAGAAAAATAATGGAACAACACTGTATCCTCTATCAGGCCACTTAACATATAGCAAGCTGTCAGCATCTTGCCAAAGATTTGTAGCAAAGATCTCTTCATTGACAGAACCTCAGAGTTTTGCAGAAGCATCTAAAGACAAAAGATGGGTGGAAGCAATGCAGTTGGAGATTAAGGCCTTAGAAGATAACAAGACTTGGGAGATAGTAGACTTGCCTAAAGGAAAGAACACCATTGGCTCAAAATGGATGTACAAGATAAAGTTCAAAGCAGATGGAGAAGTTGAAATATTCAAAGCTAGATTAGTGGCCAAGGGGTACAGTCAAAAGGAAGGTCTGGATTATCATGAGATCTTCTCACCATACACAAAATGGTAACTGTGAGAGCAGTCATTGCAATGGCAGCCTTAAAGGGATGGAACATGTACCAAATGGATGTTCATAATGCATTTCTCCAAGGAGATCTATATGAAGATGTGTATATGGAACTGCCTCGGGGCTTCAGAAGACAGGGGGAGACAGAAGTTTACAAGTTAGTGAAATCCTTGTATGGCTTGAAGCAGGCCTCAAGACAATGGAATATCAAAGTTACTGAAGCTCTTCTAGATGCAGGCTATAGTCAGAGTCTCTATGGTTACTCATTATTCACAAAGAAAAAGGGAACAGAATTTGTAGTTGTGTTAGTGTATGTTGATGACTTACTCATCACAGGAAATAATGAGGAATTTATTCAGGAGACAAAGAATGTTTTAAACATGAAGTTCAAAGTGAAAGATCTTAGAGAATTAAGGTATTTCCTAGGGATAGAAGTCATGAGATCCAATCAAGGGATCTTGTTGAACCAGAGGAAGTATGCACTTCAACTGGTGTCTGATCTAGGTCTGGGAGCAACAAAGCCAACAACCACTCCACTTGATATGAATCAAAAGTTCACCTCAGTTGAATTTGATAGACATGTTAGAGTAGCTGGAGATGAGATGTTGGCAGACATTTCAGCTTATCAGAGGTTAATTGGCAGGTTGATATACCTAACAATCACTACGCCAGATATCATATTTGATGTGCAGACATTGAGTCAATTCATGCAATCACCTAAGTAGTCCCACTGGGAAGCAACAGTAAGGGTAGTGAAATACATCAAACAGAATCAAGGAATGGGAATTCTGATGAGTAGCAGGCATGCAGACAATCTGGTTTGTTATTGTGATGCAGATTGGGCATCATGCCCTAACACTAGAAGATCAGTGACTGGGTTTGTGGTGAAATTTGGAGACTCATTGGTATCTTGGAAGTCAAAGAAGCAACAAACAGTTTCTAGAAGCTCAGCAAAAGCAGAATATAGAAGCTTAGCAGCAGCTACTGCAGAAATTGTATGGTTACTGGGACTTTTTGCAGAGCTCAATGTATATATCAAGCAACCAGTGGATATAATGTGTGATAGCAAAGCTGCTTTACAAATTGCAGCTAATCCCATATTTCATGAAAGGACCAAGCATATTAAAATAGATTGTCATTTTGTTAGGGATACAATCAAGGAAGGAAGAATCAAGACACACCACATTGGAACTAAGGATCAGCAGGCAGAACTATTGACTAAAGGGATGGGAAGAATACATCATGGAAATCTACTGGGCAAGCTAGAGTGCTCAACATCTTACACCCTCCAGCTTGAGGGGGAGTGTGAGAATGAAGGAGTCGACTGTGCAGTGCTAAGTAATGAGCCAGCTGTCAAGTTAATTAGGACAGCTGGCAGAGTTAGTTGATGTTGTTAGAGGTAGTTACCAATAGTTAGTGGTCTTAGCTTAATTAAGTAGTGGTTAGCTATGTCTATAAATACAGAGTTTGTATGTGTTATTGTTTACAATAATTGAATATAAAGAAAAGTTCCTTTACTCATTTCTCTCTTCTCCTTCTTCTTCCTTGCACGATACTGTTACATTGCTCCATTAATGGAGGCCATGACCTAGCTCAATTGAGCTCAACTCACACAGGGTATCATAGGGTAGGGGTCCAAAAGCAATATCACATAGTTGACACAGTCCTGAATATAACGTGAAACTAACTTTGACTAGGATTCTATTTGCAGGCTCAGTTTAAAAGTTTCATGTCCACATTAATTGACACATAACATTTGACCTTGAAGTCCTGCCACTCTATTTCTGTAAAAGCAAATTATTGGAAGGGGCCATATGAAGATGGATGTCTACCAAAATTCCCAACCAGAGTGCTAGAATGTTAGGCACACAAAGAGCACAAGAGTTGACACATTATGCTGCATAGTAGAAGTAAGATGTTTGCTAACTATAATGAAGCAAATCAGGAATAGTTCTGAAAATGCAGTTTCACTGCTTTATCAGGAGTTACTTTTCTGGATGTGCCATTCTATTATAATAGTGATGTTTAACTTTGGTGTATGAATCACCAACTAACAAAAGTAAATAATTTGCAATTGTGGTCTGCTGCAGGGTTGGTCTGGATGTGCTGCCCTAATGCTTAATAATACCCTCTAAGAACACAGAAGACCTGATCTTATTCTAGAATATTCTTTTAGATTAGAAATCTCAGAAACCTTGAACTTGTTTTTAAGGTTTTCCTTCTGACAAAATGAAAGATTTATACTGACCAATAAATGATGGAACAAATACTTATGTCATGGAGAGATATGTTTCCGTACTAGGTGTTTACACTAAATCAAGCTATCTAATCTTAGCAGTTAAAGGTTAAAAGTAAAAACAAATACTCCCTCCGTTCCAGTTTATGTGAACCTATTTCCTTTTTGGTTTGTTCCAAAAAGAATGACCCCTTTCTAAATTTGAAAACAATTTAGCTTGAACTTCCAATTCTAGCATTAATGAGAAGCTTTTATAACCACACAAATACTCTTGACCCCCTTTTGACTTGTTTAGGACCACAAATTTCAAAAGTCTTCATTTTTCTTAAACTTTGTGCCCAGTCAAATATGTTCACATAAATTGAAACAGAGGGAGTATCAATTAACTATGATTAAGTGATAAATGTGTATATTAAAATACGTCTTGCATTTATTGATTAGATGTAAACACCAAGTGTGAATAGGTTTTTACCCATAGTCAAGTGATAAGTAAAAGTGATAAGTAAAACAACTTCTTGATCATGATAATTACTATGAACAGAGGCGGATCCAGGATTTAGAGGCTCCGGGTGCCACAAATTTTGAACATAGCCATGTTACAATTTACATTATTTAAATATGGTATAAATTTAATCGGTTCGGGTTATTCGTCTTTAAGGTTACTATAGACAAATCGATCGAGCAAAACAAATATTGAAAAATTATAATAACTTGAAAAAAAACATAAGATTCAACTGGAGTATGTATTTTGTAAAAGAAAAAGGCTCGTTATTTGGATACTCAAGGCAAAAACTTATACTAATAAGTCTAAATATTAAAACAGAAGTAAGCTTACAGACATTATTCAATTTACTATTTTTTATAAAAATTAAGCTCACTCGATATTACATACAATTGTCCTACTTTAGAGCATTTTGATAACAAAATAAACTTTCATCCTTGATTAGAACCGTAACTTATTCAAGGATTTCTCTTTATATTTTTTGCTTTCGGCAAATAGATTTACGGAGTTGTGCTTCTGGAGAAAAAACTTAACTTTTTATCATCTATTCATAAATCATGGAGGAGTTGGGAAAGCGCAATAGTGGGTATTTTTTTTTCACGAGGAAAAAATAGATTTGTGAAAGATTTTTTTTCTATATTTAATGTTTAAAGTAAAAAAAAGAGAAGAAATTTTAAAACGAACTAATAAAACCAAAGAAGAAACAAAGGAATTTGTAGCGGTTAAATGCACCAAAGAAAGGCTTCTAAAATATTTGTGCCAAACTGGACTCGATCTCCCGCGGCAGGGGTGGAAATGACAGTGCCTTTCCGGTGGCACCTTGAATCATTTTGTTAGTGGGGGTGCCACTTAAATTATTTGTATACCTTCCTTCTATATATACCTTTGCATAGTCTCGGCCAAACCTTGCCGGTGGTGTACCACTCTATCCCTTACACATAGATCCGCCCCTGACTATGAGACTTGTGGAGAAGAATGTGAGTATAAAGACACTTATGCTTCTAACAATCACAATAAAGACGGTGATGCTTCAAGGTATGATTTTCTACATACTCTCTTGTGATGAACATAATAATGAAAAAAGTGATTATGAGCTTGATGATGAAACTACTAGGGATATTCTTAATTATTTTTTCCTTTTAACGAAGACAAGCTCCCTGCAAGCTGTAAGGGTGGGTTAGAGGAAGGGGGCTCTTGAGGTATCCAAACTCACTTAGAGACAAGACACAATGACTTGGGAAAATTTCACTCGAAAAGATTATCCAAGAGATCAATTTTTAAAGGTGTCATCCTCTTTCTCTAGAATATTCTTTTATAATGAAAATCTCAGAAACGTTGAATTTTTTTTTAAGGTTTCTCCATTTGACCAAAATATTATGGAACAAATACTTATATATCAACGAGCAATTAACTTAACATAATTACACAATACCAATTGCTTGATAAGTTAAAACTCTGGTTGGCTAACACCTTGCTGAATGATTTGCCAAATTAATAGATTTAAAATGCTTAAAGACAGAACATTAATTTATCATGTGTTACAAAACAACCACAGTAAACACATTCTAAGGTTATAATTCCACTCAATTGAAGTACATTTTTCTTTGATGTATTTGTCTACCTTTATAGTGAATGAGCACGTGTAATTATTAGCTTATGTACTTACCGTGGTTGTTTTATGTCGCACGGTTAATTGATGTTCTGTATTTAAGCAGTTTTAAGTCTATTAAGTAAGCCTGTTTAAGCAAATCTTTTAACAACTGAAGTTTTAATTTATCAAGCATTGGTAAAAACCTTAAAAAGAAGTTCAAGGTTTCTGAGATTTTCACTCTAAAAGAATATTTTAGAGAAAGCACAGGTGGGTGAAACCTTACATAATTGATTCTCTAGAATATTCTTTTAGAGTGAAATTTACCCAAGCCATTCAGTCTTGTTTCTAAATAACTTTGGAAAACTCAAGAGTCCTCCCCTCTTTGCAATTTGCATGAGACTTGTCTTCGTTAAAAGAAAAGCAAATAAGAAGGCCAACAAGAATATTCTATAATAGTTTCCTAATCATCATCATCATGCTCATCATAATTTGACAAGAGTGGGTTGCTCTAGTGGTAAGCATCCTCCACTTCCAACCAACAGGTTGTGAGTTCGAGTCACCCCAAGAGCAAGGTGGGGAATTATTGGAGGGAGGGAGCCGAAGGTCTATCGGAAACAGCCTCTCTACCCCAGGGTAGGGGTAAGGTCTGCATACACATTACCCTCCCCAGACCCCACTAGTGGGATTATACTGGATTGTTGTTGTTGTTGTTGTTGTTGCATCATCATGCTCATAACCAATTTCTTAATGATTATGTTGACCACAAGAAGAGTATGTTGAAGAATCATACCTTAAAGCATCATCATCTTCATAGTCATTGTTAGAAGCATAAGCGTCTTCATACTCACATTCTTCTCTACAAGCCCCATAGCCATCATCTCTATAGTAGTCGTCATCATCAAGAAGTTGAGTATTAATCACTTGTATATGGGTAAAAACTTATCCACACTTGGTGTGTATCTAATCAATAAAATGCAAGACGTATTTTTAATACACATTTATCACTTAACTATTGTTAAGTCATAGTTAAGTGATATGGTGCTAAGATTAAATAGCTTGGTTAGGTGTAAACACCTAGTATACTCTCCATGAGCTTTCTTAACCATGACTCTTAAGATAGTTCAACACTCAGACATATAGTAAAATCATCAAACTTAGATGTGGGTATGAGACGGTACAATAATATATTTAACACTTTCTAGCTTTTAGCTTGAGCAGCAAATTCATTTCACTTAGCTATAGAATACTGGTTGAACAGAGCAGAGCTCTTCAATAACAACATTCTTTTGGAGTAGCAAGATCAATCACTGATATTTCTGTCCACTACGAAAATTTGACCGAGAATGACCTCCAGATTTGAGATTACACTTATAATTCTTCTTACAAGACTTCAGAAAGTTTTCAAAGGTTGCATCTTATTGTACCAATAACTAATGAGCTAGCAAAGTCGAGGTTATGCATAACCAGTGACCTAAGCAAGCAGTAGAGAAACACTTCTGGACAAACTTAGCAACTCAATCAAGTCTTGATATTAGCTTGTGAGAATAGATTAGTCTTAACAGAAATCCAAGTTTAAGAGATCATTTAAGCTTCATTTTCTGGTCCAATTGATGTCAATGTTGAATTAATATTAAAATCGAGATATTAGGCACAACAAAAGTGACTCGAGTCACGCCATACTTGCCTCATATGCAGCCAAAAGAAAAGAGCTTTGCGCTTTTGGTCCTTGTGAAATAGGATAAAATGAGCCACTTCAAGTAAATTTAGGGCAAAAAGTGCTACTAGGGTATCACAGGGTAGGGGACCAAAAGCAATATCACATAGTTGACACAGTCCTGAGCATAACTTTAACTCCAATTCAAGCCAAGTTTGACTAGGATTCTATTTGCAGGCTCAGTTTAAAAGTTCCATGTCCACATTAATTGGGTCATCACATTTGATCTTAAAGTCCCACCACTCTATTGCTATAGAAGTAAATGGATGTGTACCATAATTCCCAATCAGATTGCTAGAATGTTAGGCACACAAAGAGCAAAAGAACTTGGAGACATTATGCTGTAAGTAGAAGAACGACGCTCGCTAACTTTTCTGAAGCAAATCAGGAATAATTCTGAAAATGCAGTTTCATTTCTTTTTAAGGAGTTACTTTTCTTGATCTGTCATTTTATTACAATGATGAATTTAACCTTGGTATATGAATCTCCAGGTAACTGAAGTAGAAAATTTTCAATGTGGGCTGCTGCAGGTTTGGTTTAGGTGCGCTGCCCTAATGCTAAGTACTAACCCCCTCTAAGAACACCAAAGACTCACATTCTATACAACATTGAAACCTTCATGATTGATTAACAGACTTTTTTCTCAAACTGATCGTCTAGGACCTACTAGAAGATAAATTATTAAAAGACACAGAAGTGAACTGGATGGAAACGGTGAACACATTCCTTTTGATATGAGCTAAAGAAGAATGCTACCATGACCTGCATTACTGAATACCATAAACAATAATTTTGTTTTCCAATATCATGAGTTTGCATTTCCAAAATCCATGTACCTGTACATATATTTGATACCAAGTGTCATTCCAGCGGTGGACTTTCCTCGCCAAACCATCTCGGGGGATCGAAGCCAGATCCTCCTGTCATGTTTGAAAATACACGAGCGACATACTAAGATATTACTCCAAGACTTATCAACAAAACTAATAGTATCTCACTCAAAGCTAAGAATAGCTCCTGTAAAGCTTCAGAGTGACCTCAGAATTTTAAGCCAACAATGAAACATCATTTTACCTAGAGGGTTACAGCGACAAAGACGCCATGCCGTCAAGACTGTCCCTTTAACAACACCATATTTCTTGTAAGCGATCATGGAGTATTCACTGCATGTTGGTACATAGCGACAACTTTTTGGCATTATTGGTGAGATTTCCCCTGCTTAATAGTCAATGGTTACACATTTCCTCCTGGTCTTTATGATATAAACGTAAGAATCAAAATAGCTCAACAGAATCAGGAAAACTAAAATGTCACATTTTAGCTAAAGCATACCAAGAACTTACTTTTATAGAACTTGAGCATTGACAATGCAGCTTTGACCCCCAAATTATCTTCTTCATCATCTAAATCCAAAAGGCAAGCACCAAATTTAACCATGATTATATTAAGGTAAACAAACACCTTAATTTAAAGTAAATTTATAAAAATATAGGGTGTTTAGCTTTATGAATGGCCATTAACTTTTTTTTTATAGCACAAAAGACATTAGATTAACGAAAAGTCAGTCAACTTCACAAAAGTATAAAAGTCACTAAACTATTTTTTGTAACAAAAAAATGAGTTAGTTTTACCTAAGTATCACATAAAGTCACTAGAAGGAAACAAATGAGACATTTTTTGTGATTCTTAGACAAAGTTGGGTGACTTTTGAGTTACATATAATCATTTAGCGAGACTCTGTATATTCAGGCAAAGTTAGTGGTTTTCTCGTCACAAAAAAAAGTTTAGTTACTCTAGATAATATAAAAAGTTGAATGAGCATCAATGAAACTAGTATTAATAGTTGGGGACAGCCGGATACCTTGAGAATTGCTTTCGCCGGAATCTGACCCACTAACGATACATAGGGCCCGACTCTGCCGCCTATGTTTCTACAAGAAAAGAGGGGAAAGTCTACATTATGATTAATTGAAAATTGAGAAGGTAAGAATTGGAGTTGTGAAATGGAAGGTACGTTTCTCAAAGGAAAGAAAAGACTTGATTGCTGCTTCCTGTAAGCTGATAAACTGGAGCTGGAATCTGTTGGAGAAAAGGGTTTGTTGCTGGCTAGGGACAAAGCTAGCGCCATTGATGAAAAGCTTTGAAGGCATTTGAATGGAATGGCTATAATTTGTTTGTTAAGTACTCCTTTAATTAGATAAGAAAAAAGTTTAACTTATATTGACCGAGATGACGCTATATTTTTTCTTTTTACATCATCAATCAGATCTTTTGAAAGATTGTATCGTTAACCTTTTATAACAAAAATTGAAAATTAGGTTGATTCCTTATTAAGTGTGAGCTGATAATGTAAAGCGAACTGATAGGAGCTTCAAAAATTAATCAAGTTACGTGAACAAATAATATTTTGTTATGAAATATAGCTCAAAGTAACAATATGGAACAAAGAAAAATAAGTTAAGAGATATACAGAGAAAGAGAGAAGAAATTTTATTTCTTCAATTGTGTGTATTTTTCTATCTATTACAAAGCCTTTATATAGGCATAAAAAGTGAAGAAAATATGTCATTGAATATGTCATTAAACATAGAAAATATGTCATTGAATATGTCATTAAACATTTGAGATGAAGATCATGGAGGAAGATTAGACATCCACCATAATTTGATATTTCTTTTAACACTCCCCCTTGGATGTCCATAGATAATGTGTCTCGTTAAAACCTTATTAGAAAAAAAAAATTCTAGTGAAGGAAAAAGAGTACACATGTTTAGGAATACGCTTTTTGGTTGCCTCATTAAAAACTTTGCAAGGAAAGAGTACACTACGTATTAACTCCCCCTGATGAGAGCATCAATTCATATCCTTGAGTCTTCGCATCCCAATCTTGTACACTAGTTTCTTGAAGGTTGACGTCGGTAGAGATTTGGTGAACAAATCAGCCATATTATCACTTGAACGGATCTGTTGCACACTGATATCACCATTCTTTTGAAGATCATGTGTGAAAAATAACTTTTGTGAAATATATTTTGTTCTATCTCCTTTTATGAATCATCCCTTCAATTGAGCTATGCATGCTGCATTGTCTTCATATAAAATTGTGGGTAGTTTGTCACACTTCAAATCACATTTATCTCGAATTAGGTGTATTACAGACCTCAACCATACACATTCTCGATTTGCTTCATGAATAGCAATTATCTCAGCATGATTAGATGAAGTAGCTACGATTGATTGCTTAGTCGATCGTCAAGATATTGCAGTGCCTCCACATATAAACACATAGCCAGTTTAAGATCGAGCCTTGTGTGGGTCAGATAAATACCCAGCATCGGCATAACCAACAAGATCGGGACTGCAATCATTGCCATAAAATAAGCCCATATCGGTTGTCCCTTTTAGATACCGCAACATGTGTTTGATTCCATTCCAATGTCTCCTTGTAGGAGCAGAGCTATATCTTGCTAAGGCATTAACTGAAAAAGTTATGTCAGGCCTTGTAGTATTAGAAATATACATTAGTGCACCAATTGCACTAAGATATGGTACTTCAGGACCAAGAAGCTCTTCATTCTTTTCTTGAGGTCGGAACGGGTCCTTATTCACATCAAGTGATCGAACAACCATCGGAGTACTTAATGGATGTGCTCCATCCATGTAAAACCGTTTAAATACCTTTTCTATGTAGGCAGATTGATGAACAAAAATCCCGTTTGCCAAATGTTCAATTTGCAAACCGAGACATAATTTTGTCTTTCCGAGATCTTTCATCTCGAATTCCTTCTTTAAATAATCAATTGCCTTCTGGAGTTTTGTAGGAGTTCCAATAAGGTTTATGTCATCAACATATACGGCAAGTACAACAAACTCCGTTGTTGTTTTCTTTATAAAAACACATGGACAAATGGAATTATTTATATAACCTTCATTTAATAAATATTCACTAAGGCGGTTATACCACATTCTTCCTGATTGCTTTAGATCATACAAAGATCTTTGCAATTTGATTGAAAACATTTCCCGGGATTTTGAATTATGTGCGTCAGGTATTTTAAATCCCTCAGAAATTTCCATGTATATCTCATTATCAAGTGAACCGTAAATGTAGGCTGTAACCACATCCATTAAATGCATGTCAAGCTTTTCATAGACAGCAAGACTAATGAGATAACGGAACGTTATAGCATCCATAACAAGAGAATACGTCTCTTCATAATCAACAGCAGACCTTTGTGAAAATACTTGTGCAACAAGGCGTGCCTTATATCTTTGTACCTCATTTTCTCATTTCTTTTTCGTACAAAGACCCATTTATAGCCAATAGGTTTAACACCATTAGGTGTTTGGACTACATACCTAAAAACTTCACGTTTCGCAAGTGAATCCAACACAGATTAGATTACTTCTTATCATTTTGGCCAATCACGTCTTTGTCGATATTCTCCAACAGATTGAGGTTCAAGATCCTCATTATCTTGCATAATGCTAGATGCAATATTGTATGCAAAGACATAATCCACCACTATATTCAACCGATTCAAATTTGTCTCAATATCGATTGGATTTATTGATAGTTCCCTATTTTCTTGAGTCTCAGGCTCATCGATATCCTCATGAATCTCATGATTGGTTAAATTATGGGTTTCTTTATGAGACTTTTTCGTAATGTCATCTTGATCATTTATTTTTCTTTTTCTAGGATTTCGATCATTAGAACCCAATGGTCTGCCACGCTTTAGGCGTGCTTTTGACTCATTAGCTATGACACTAGAAGATTGTCCAACATGGACATCAATATGGATTGGAATATTCTCTGCAGGGATATGCGATTTTGTTATCAGATCCGTAAATGCAACTGGCATTTGATTTGCTATTTTCTGTAAATGGATAATATTCTGCACCTCTTTTTCACAAATAGAGGCACGTGGATCAAAATGAGACAATGATGTATTTTTCACAAAATTTCATCTTTTGTTTCACCAATTTCTCCCCCTAAAATTGGGAAAAATGCCTCGTCGAATCGACAATCTGCAAATCGAGCAGTGAATAAATCTTCCGTTAATGTTTCAAGGTACCAAATAATAGAGGGCGATTCAAACCCAACATATATTCCTAACCTTCTTTAGGGACCCGTCTTGGTGCGATATGGCGGTGCTGCATGCAGATATACAGCGCATCCAAAAATTCATAGATGTGATATATTAGGTTCATGACCCAAAATTAATTGCAACGGGAAATATTTATGATAATTTATCGGTCTGAGACGAATTAGCATTGCTGCATGCAAAATGGCATGACCCCAAATAGAAGTGGGTAATTTTATTTTCATGATTAACGGTCTTGCTATCAATTGCAGACGTTTAATCAAAGACTGTGCAAGGCCATTTTGAGTGTGAACATGAGCTACAAGATGTTCCACTTTTATCCCAATTGATAAGCAATAATCATTAAATGCTTGGGATGAAAACTCAGCAGCATTATCAAGTCGAATAGACTTAATTGGATTATCGGAAAACTGTGCCCGTAATCGAATTATTTGTGCTATTAATTTTGCAAACGCCAGGTTGCGAGATGACAATAGGCACACATGAGACCATCTAGAAGATGTATCTATTAAGACCATAAAATATCTAAACGACCCACTAGGTGGGTAAATAGGTCCACAAATATCCCCTTGTATACGTTCCAAAAATGCATGGGACTCAATCCTAACCTTTGTTGGTGATGGTCTAATAATCAACTTGCCTTGATAACAAGAAGTGCAAGAAAACTCATTATTTAAAAGAATCTTTAAATTCTTTAATGGATGCCCATTTGAGTTCTCTATAATTCGTCTCATCATAATTGATCCAGGATGTCCCAATCGATCATGCCAAAGTACAAAAGTATTAGAATTAGAAACCTTTTGGTTTACAATAAAATGTGCCACAATTGCACTAATTCTTGTCCAATACAGGCCACAAGATAAAGATAGGAACTTCTCAATAACCCTTTTCTGGCCAGAGACATTCTTGGTAACGATGAGATATTCAAGATTATTCTCATCTATTGTCTCAATATGAAATCCATTTCGACGGATATCTTTAAAACTCAACAAGTTCCTCTTGGACTTGGAGGAAAACATTGCATTCTCTATGATAAGTATTATTCCCTTAGGCAGAGTTATAGTAGCTCTTCCAGAGCCTTCAATTAATTTTGTACTACCATATATTCATCAACATCTATATGGTGAATATCTCTTTTAAAGAGAAAGTTATACCATTATGGTCATGGTCAAAATTATATAAAAGATTTGTTTCTTGCATTATTGTTGTCCTTTAATAATCACATTGCCAAAATATTTTGGCGTACAATAGGTACGTGACCAATGATCATTCATGCCATAATAATGACATTATTTTCTTATTTCATCTCAAACCCCCTTCTCGAGATGAGTGTGGTATATTTACTACCACTAGCACGTTCATATTCTTGCAAGAATGAATATGTATTCATAATGATTATCAAATTATTTTCACATTCACTTCAGGAATGGAACATAATAATCCATGCGTGCTTTATAAAATTTCATGCCATACCAATAGCAAACATCACTTTCACAAAGTGAAGGATTATTTTGAGAGCAATTATTATTCTCATTACCATAATGATGACGATTATAATTTCGTCCATTACCACGTACACGTCCATTCATACCTCCACGGTAACATCATGTCTTATTTTATACTTATGGGATGGGTTTTCCCTATTGGTGGCGATTGAATTTAATTTGCATATGCGAACTTTCATTAACTGGACTCAATCAAATAAAAAGTATCAAGCAAATATAGAAAAACACATAATCAATTAAAATCTACGTGTCCTTTATGATAATTATCCTACTTTAAGATGGAAGAGATATGTGACAAAATAGAAAGGAAAAATATATGCTCTCTCAAAAGTGTTCACTTCGTGTTTCTTAATATTAACACATAAGAACATAATACTTGTTATAGGAAAAATATTTATCGTTCTTTACACCAAAAATCCTTACATGATTTGATGAACTTTCAAGAAAAACTTTTTCGTAAAACAAGTTTGTTCATGTATGGAAATATAAATAGCAAAGTGTAAAGAAACTTGAAAACTAATTAGAAATGGCTAATCGTGATGGCTGAATATATGCTGGCGTTGTACACCTTATACCGTCATCGTTCTTAC